CAGAATGCACCTGGACATGCAGACGCCCAAGTGCATCATCTATATCTGGACATGTACATGACCTGTCAGAATGCACCTGGACATGCAGACGCCCAAGTGCATCATCTCTATCTGGACATGTAGATGCTCGGACGCATTCAGACAGGGTTAGACTTTGAAATTTCGAACGAGACACGCTACTTATGCCCTTCACCTTTCTCCCCTCCTACCATCTCCTCCAGGCCAGATCTGTGCTCATTCACTGTATCTAGACCGAATTGCAGCCTGGAGACCTCGATCTCTAGCAGCAAATGACCAAATATCTCAGTGCATGCCCTACCATTCACTGTATCTAGAGTCTAGACCGAATTGCAAATAGAACGTATGTGTCCAAGTCCCTGCGGCGCCTGTGGTGCACCACGGGTTCACCGGCTGAGATGGTTGCCCCCCCCTTGCTGGCTCATCTCGGTTGGCGGCCCTCCCTTCCATCCTTCACCAGGGGTTAGGCTGAAACAGAGAAGGAGAAAGACTGTAAGGTGAAAAAAACGTGTGGGCTGACAATACCTACTAGGTAGTGTGAGGTATATTGAGAAAAACGTTTCCGTAACCTTAGTTTGAAAAAAAAAAAAAAAAAAAAAAAAGTATGGTCATTACAGCTGTATACCGGGCAACTTTCAGTCTAGATACAGTGAAATCAACTGTAGGCACTATTCGGGAAATATAGTAGCTGCCCTACATAGCGCTGGGCTTGCCTGCCTCTATTACCTGGTCCTCTTTCTGGACCTTGGAGATCCACCAGCGGTCGATGCTTCAGACTAAAAGCCAAGTCGTGTACCTCATGGCCCTCCTGCGCAGCGCCTGGGGCCGTTGGTTCAGATCTGGCGCTGACTCAGCAGCTGCAGGTGCAGACGAAATGCACCAGTCTGCATACCTGAAGGGGAACTCAGGACAGAAAATTGCTGCAGCCCTACCGTCTTTTGCCCAAATAGAACACGGTCATCATCGCTGCAGCTGGACAGAAAATTGCCCCCAAATACGACAAAAACTTCTGGCGTTATATTTGGGTGAAGATGGTAGTGCCAATAATCGTCTCCCAGGCCTCCAATGCCACCAACCTAAACAAAGGCACCTCCACAAACATGCACACCAGAAGAGAGAGAGTGGGAGAGAGAGAGAGAGAGAGAGAGGAGGGGAGAGAGAGAGCGAGAGAGAGAGAGAGAGGCTGTCCTCACCGGGAAGTATTCATTAATGAAGCCTGGCGCCATCCATTCGTCACCCTCGTCGTACATATACGGGTGCGACATCAGAATCGGTCTCTCCTTAACCTGCACCACTGCGATGCACATAACAAAGGAATGAAAACAAAAAAGATGAAATGAGTGAAATTCATGAGCACCTCTGCATGGCACCACTTTACGTCAAATTCTTCTTCGATCCTACTCCGCTTGAGATTGAGAACGATGAAGAGAACAGCAAAAACCGAAAAAAAAAAAAAAAAAAAAGTATGTGCCAACGGAACAACAACAACAACAACAACAACAGGAGGAGGAGGAACGGAATTTTAAAAATACGGTGTGGCATCGGTGAGCCACGACGCCAGTTTTTTCAAAAAAAAAAGTGTTGAAAAATTGAAAAACCTTCCTCCCTTCGCTTGAGATTGAGAACCGTGAAGAGAACAGTAGTTTAAGAATGCAAGTCAAAAAAAAAAAACAGTCCACAGCACAGCCCTAACAAATGACAACAATTTTATTTCTTTATTTACTTATTTATTTATTTTGAGAGAAAACCTGCGACCTCCACTAGAGGGGGTGGTAAGAGCAGCCGCCTCCAGTCGCTGTCCCTGGTCGCTCAGACTCGCTCCATCTATTGGTGGGGAGCTACACCTGCTGGAACCCAGGTCCCGCGTCCCTGTACAACAGTTTTTTGCTGAAAAGGGGGTCCAGCGTCCCATAACACACTCCGGTCCGGAGTCCGAACCGAATGTTGATGTGTAATCCAGCCCGCAACCCTGCCCCCGCAAAATTCTGTTTTTCCGTCCACTCATGGTCCTGCCGTCTTGATCCGCTGCCCGTTTGTCTCATCCCGTACCATTGTATGTTGTATGTCCACCATCACCGGCTGATGAGGCGGGAAGGGGTCCGGGRAGTCTGAGGGATTGACTCAGCTGACTGTAACAAAAAAGGAACGGAATTTTCAAAATACGTGTGCTATCGTGGAGAGCCACAATGACCGAACTTTCTGAAAATATGTTTACAAAGTGGCCCGGGGTCACTTTCCAACCGGGCCAAAAAAATAAAAATAAAAAAATCATTTTTAATTTTTATTTTTGATTTTAATTTTGGTGAAGAATTTCGATGTGACCCTGAGGCAAAAGTTGTTCAGTTTACTTTTCTGGATAACATAGCTTTTTTTCGGATTTTTCGGTTTTTTTTTTTTTTTTTTTTTTTTTGCTGGGACCTCCTTGTACGGGCTGGCCMCCCGGGACCCGGGCGGCCCGGCTGGTAGCCTAGGTCAAATGCGAAAAAAAAAGAAGAAAAAAAGCAGAAAAAGAAAAGAAAAGAAAAAAACAGAGCATGCAACACAGACTAACGCTGTAAAAAAACAATCATCGGAAAATGGGAGGAGGAACACAAAGGTAGGTCAGCGGTTCGAATCCAGCTTCTATCGAATGTCCAAACAGGTAAAATTATTGACTAAAATACTTTTTAAAAAAAAAACATAAGACCTCTTGACAAAGAAAAGCGGGCAGGCCCAAAAAAAAAAAAGAAAAAAAAAAAGGGGGGGGCCAGACTGCCACTTGGTCCGTGTCCAATTCTTTTCGGCGAAGTTCCGTTTCATAAGTTTTATTACTTTTTAACGTTTCAGTTTTAACTTTCTTGTGTGTAAACTTAAGCACCGATTCATCAAACCGGGAGAAGACACTTTTTTTTTTTTTTTTTTTTTGGGTGAAAAAGGGCGCATATTGCTAGCATTCATTCCGAGTGAGGATCAAAATCTGCTTTTTTTTTTTTTTTCATTTAAGGAGGAGGGGGTGGAGGGGAGACGGGAGCGGAGGGGGAGGGGTTATGGATTAATTTCTGGAAAAATGGAAGAGAGAAAACTCACGTACTTCCCTCTGGCTTGAACTTAAACATTTGAGCCTTCAGCGATGAAACTTCACCAAGCCCTGCATGCCACTGTTGGATTGATGGAGGGTTTTTTTTTTTTTTTTTTTGGTCAGGGAACAAACCACAAGATACAAAAAAAAAGGGAAACACAAAAAAAAAAGCCTGTTAGTAATTCAATAAATTCTTTAAAAAGGAAAAAAAAAAAAAAAACTATTGGGTTCTCTTGAATCTGTTCATTGGGTGTACCAACTGCTCAGCGACTTAGTGGTAAGAGAAATCAAATTTAGTTTTCACTAAATTGCACTAAAATCATAATTAAAAAAAAAAAAAATTAAAAAAAAATACTAAAATAGTGGTCTACCCCAGGTTCCCAGCCTTGTTTCCATACATGGAATTTCATTTCATTTTAGTTTTTCATTTTAATTTCATTTAATTTACCGTCATTTCACGTCCCTAAGGCTACCGTCTTCCCCTCCGAACATAACGCACCCTGCTAATGAATGTATTCAGAGAAATTTCAGACTATTGTTCCGTCCTGACACAGTCAAAATTAGGGAGCATTGTGTAACTACTAACTACCCTTCTTCCCCCGAATACAACGTACCCCGTCATCATAGCTGTATTTGAGGCATCATTCAGTCTAGATACAGCTATAATGACACCGTCATTATAGCTGTATTTGAGGCATCGTTCAGTCTAGATGCAGCTATAATGACCGTACGTTGTATTCCGGGGATGAAGGTAGTGTATTGAAGGCACACACCGAAAAGGGATATATGTCATCCTACATGCAAAGACCAGCAGTTCCCCATTGATGCTGCCATTCCTACACATACGGTACACGTAACGTCTGGTCTTTCCGTGTCGCGTGTCGGATCAGCGATTGTCGAGGGTCGAAGAGACGAATGTGTCAAGTTCCTGAACAACAAAAGCGCATATTCCTTCTCATTGGAGTTCCAGCAATAACATTATAACACTTTGCCTACTGTTATTCCTGCGACAACGCATCTTCCAGTAGAATTCAACTCCATAATCTCTCTCTCTCTCTCTCTCTCTCTCTCTCTCTCTCTCTCTCTCTCTCTCTCTCACACACA